TCGTCGCACAACTACAGCTGTCACTTTTCATGTGAACAAGTCAAATGAGTTGAGATCAGTGGAGACCCCCCCCTGTTAGGAAGGTGGCTCAGTGAATTCATAGCACAATAGACAGACAGGGCAACGCTCAGCACAACAGTGACAAACAAAACCATCATATGCTTCAAAACATATTCAAAGCTATAAGCTAACTAGCTCAAACAATATAGCTCAACGTGAGAGAGGTTTTCAATTGAGAAAACCTAAAGATATGCACTCTTAACTAAATCTAATGCATTAGTCACAGCAGCAGTCACACATCTGAACAAAAGAGAGAAGGTTAGCACAAGCTCCACAGCCGGTGTTCACAACGGGACCAGAGCTTTCCTCTCTGATGAGCCAAGTCTGGAGACCAACAAACCCTCATTTCCTTTGTCTCCTCTGTTTCCCCGGTACGGCAACAGGTCATGTCAGCCATGGAGACCCCACACAGTTTGTTGGTGGTGGTGAAAAAGTGCTGTCCACCAAGCTGTATCATATTCTATGATAAGGCCCACTCGTTCAGTCACAATAACTACACTCTTGTATGCTTAGGCTTGTAGTTTATCTCTCATTCATCCTGACAGTCACTCCTCACACATGCTTGTGTTATCTTGCTGCAGCTCTAAAGTGCCAAAGACGTTCAGCCCAAGACGTCATAATCACATAGCTTAAGCCTATTATCTGTTATAATAAACAATTATCTTTACTGGCTGACACATACTGTGATACTGAAAGGTCAATACCGTGTCAAGTGGTCTGCTTCCGGCGTAGCATCCCGACCATAAAACTGTCAAACATCTGCTAGATACAAAAGAAAGAGCAGAGCTATCACAACTCAGTACTGACAACCTCGTTAAATAACCGACTCGATCCCACCAGGAAGAGTCAAAGCAGGCCTCCAGTTCAAAGGCTCACGTCTGTGGAACGAGACATCTGTCCATCACAACGCAATCTGATGCTGAACTGGTAAAGGTAGCAATGTGTCTACCAGATAATCAGAAGAAGAAGACAGTGAAGAGGGGAGGGTGTCCGTGGAGCTGAGTGGATGTGATCATGCCTTGAGTTGATACGAGTTGAGTTTCCCACAGATCCTTACATGAAATAAAGATGAGTCATTTAATTTGGAGATTGATAATTCTATTTTCTTAGCCTGTCTTTAAATGATGAATTTATGATTGAATATAACGACGATTTCAAAGATTACTGGTCCTTCTGTTGATTGTGAAGTGACCACTTGTTGTGGTGCTACAATACCAACGCAAACAATGAGCAATGACACCAACGCACTCATTGAAAGAGTTACAACATTTTCAATTATTAATCACCCAGCAGTAAGGGTTGACTGATTCCTGAGTCACACCCATATTCACTTGTTTCATGGATATTGTGACAGCAAACTCTCTGGCAGAAGAGACCGCCATATTTGTTTTCAAGTGACTCTTTTTTAAGGCTCTGCTCGTGTGAGACAATAACAGTATAATGTAATGCAACAGCTCAAACATCTGTATCCTTTCAGACAGCTACCTGACATTTTGTGTTTGTATTCATTATCTGTATTATTTTAAAGGAGTACTTTAGAAATGTAGTATTGCGCGTCCATCAAGTTGGGGGACTTGTGAGAGATACATCTAAGTGGTGAAATTCAGCAGCAGAGGGTGAACGTCTGGACTTTGAATCCCTAGTATGGGTCAAATTTCAAAAAATGGGGATTCTCCACTTGTCATGATGCAACTTGATAGCATCTCTTCATCACGTCCAGAGAGACGAGGACACGACATGACACAACTGTTTTCACAGGCTGAATAGTAGCCTACTATATATAGTGAGTTAACTAACCCTGATAAATAAAATAAAAATAAAAATACTATTCTGCTCTCTCCTGTGACTGACATCAAGTTATCACACTGACCACGGGTATAATCAGCTTCCGGAAGGAGCTATGTTGGATCCTACAGCTGTGGTGTACGTGAACGCCACATGTAACGTCAGTTCACTGTAGTTGTAGAAAGTGAGTTTATTACCCTCAACGATAATCACGTCGTGTTTGCGTGTCGGTGTCGCTAGTTGCTCTGATGACTATCGCCAACCTGGAGCAGACAGCGGCTCACTAAAGCTCTGTTTCACACTGCTGCACGCACTTGCTGCTGTCGCTAGCCGGGTCCGCGGTGGAGACGAGCGGCTGCACAGCTGAAGGACACCGGGGTTGGGGGGGTTCCTACCTTGGACAGCGCCAGGAGTTTGCGCAGGCTCTCTGGAGTCACAGCCGGCTAAACAACAACAACAACAACACAAAAGGCACCGTTTTAACGTCCTAGCAGCAACAGCATCATCCGGGTACTACCGGCTCCGGTAGCTTCCTGCTTATCTCTTCACACTTTTTTTCCGCATCTTCGCTGTTTTAATTACCGGATGCTTAGTGGCGTGCGTGCAGGGTTTTTCGCATACTGACACGCATGCGCGGCTCAAGTCAGCCTGTGGTGGGGCTGAGGTGAATGCTGCCTTCAAGTAATGAGTAAAGTACGGTAAAACAGAGGGATCACCCAGAGAAATAAATACACGGAATAAAATGTAACAATACATATGGAATTTGAAAATAATAATATAATGAAATTAAGAAAAAAAAAAACAAGTGAGATGATTAGAAAAATAAATAATAACATATATGTGTGTGTGTGTGTGTGTGTGTGTGTGTGTGTGTGTGTGTGTGTGTGTGTGTGCTTTGATCAACCTGTTTCTTCTTGTGTATTCACTTAAACATTCTCTATAAAAATCACGAAGTGCAAAAGAACCTTAACCTTAAATGTTCAAATTACCTCCAGGAAAACAAATTGTCATGCAGTAGCATAGCTGTAACTTCTGGTTGCAAAAAACCAAGATGGCGACAGCCAATATGCTGAACTCGAGGCTTCAAAACGGCAGTCCATGAACCAATGGGTGAGGTCACCACGACTACGTTCTTCCTCCAAATCTGGTGTTGTGGTCTGGAACACAGTTGGATGCAGAAAACATGGCCTATGAGAGGACAGCTAATCTGTACAGGCAGAGAAGCGTGGGTGTATGCCAAAGGTTCACCCAATGGAGGTTGGCTGGACTGTGTTTAAGAGGGGGAGCCTAAAGCAGACACTGCAGCCAGTTTCAGTCAATGTCTGTGGGTGTATTTTATTTATTGTTAAGACAGGTCAAGGGATATAATCGGGAGACATATCTCCTAGCAGACACTCTTGCTAACTAGTGGACATTACCAAGACTAGTAGAACCAGATAGTGATGATGACTGCACCACTGAGCAGAACATGGCATTCATATGATGTTGCCAATAAAGCCAGTATAGGGCCAGTCACTGTAGATCAGCAGTATCTGCTCTTTGCTTGGATGAGAATATGATTTAAAGGCAGGTTAAAGGTATGTTTGGTCAGGGTTAGAGAATGGTAATTATAATAATAATAATAAAATGTATTTGTAACTCGCTTTAAAAGATACATAAAAGCATTTCACATGGTAAGGGCTCAGTAGATGTATGAAGACACAGCCTGATACCCACTGCATGGCCTGTTGATAGATCATCATTTAACATAAATACTGAGCTTTCATAGGAATGCTTACCAAACTTATGGCATATTTTGTTATGTATTGATAAATGTTCCTTTCTGACACACAAATAGTATGTCTTTAGAAGGGGAAGGAAATCCTTGATCTTTAATTATCTCCCATTGTAACTTGACGTGTCATATCATTTGTTCATAAAGACAGTTGTATTTACAGCTTTAGCTCCCAGACTCATGTGTCTGACCTTCATAAACTTTTTTACTTTGAGTTTTTAGATGTCCGGGCTTCGAGTTTACCATGAAGGCAACGTTGCCCCTATCTGTGTCTGTTCCAGCATCACACTAACGTACTGTGGATGTGGTGTCCATTTACCAGGACAGCAGTCATGGAGCAGTGGGAAGAGACCTTGGCAGGCAGCTAGCGTGTGAAAGCTGAGATGTTAAACCTCACGCTGTACCACAGGCTCTGTGATGACAGCTTCTCTCATCACAACAACACACTGAAATGTTGACTGTTAAAAATGATAACTAACATATGATCGTTTGGTCTTTTGAAAGCAGATGCTGCTAGTTTTATATTGACATGGCATGTTATGTGTGTGGGATCTGATCAGCATTAGAATCCATTCATGTTGTAGATGTCCTCTGATCAATCAGTGCTGTAGAATAATCTCTACTGTAAAATAGTTTGCAAAAAGCACATCATATCTCTCCTATCTATCATCATTAGTTGAAAACCTTTTGCTATTTAGGTATGAATGTGTGTGAATGTGTCAATCCATACCTTATTAAAGTCTTCTTAGTCTTCTTTGCACAGCCTGAGCACTATTTTGAGATACTAAGTGATGATTTTGGAATATTAAGTCATTATTTTGAGATACTAAGTCATTGTTTGACACACAAACTCGTAATTTTGGGATACTAAGTCATACGTTTAAGATACTAAGTCATTATTTTGAGATACCAAGTCATTATTTTGAGATACTAGATCATTATTTTTGAGATACTAAGTCATCATTTTGAGATACTAGGTCATTATTTTGAGATACCAAGTCATTGTTTTGAAATACCAGGTCATTATTTTTGAGATACCAAGTCATTGTTTTGAGATACTAGGTCATTATTTTTGAGATACCAAGTCATTGTTTTGAGATACTAGGTCATTATTTTTGAGATACTACGTTATCATTTTGAGATACCAAGTCATTATTTTGTGATTCTAACTCATTATTTTTAAATTATCATTTTAAAATCATTTTGAAATGGTAACTCAATATTTTATATTACTATTTATGGAAATTATTTTGAAATGCTAATTCATTTTTTGTATATTATTATTTTAGGTAATTTTTTTTTCATCCCAGTGACGAAAATGGACTTCCGCTTTGCGGCTGCATGGTGGCGCTGCTGTAGGTGAGGAGAACTTAGACGGTACCGTGGTTTCAAATATGATCCTGCAATCACAGCAATAACCGCCCATGGAACAGTGAACACCAATCAGGCTACTTCGTGACACAGGCACGTGAATATTAGAAGCTTATAAAAAATAATGTTAGCTGCACGTGCGCCTAGATGCGCTGACAGGATGTAGTGAGACAATCATATTTTGTCTTAAATGTGGGAAAAGGCTTTTTTCTTTTCTGGCAGTCTGATCCATCCATTGTCAGTGCCAGCAGCAGTCATATGCTGTCAACCACCTTCCTCCCCAGTGCGCCTGCGCTCCCTCTCCTCTCTCTCTCTCTCTCTCCCTCCCTCCCTCCGTCGGTGGCTTCGTTCTCTACCTGACAGCTCGTCGGAGGACGTGCACACAGCCGAGCCCCGGGCTCCTCGCTAGCAGTGATAAAGGGCCGCGCGGGTCTGTGTATCGGCAAGGGGGAGTCTGGGCCGGATACTGACCAGCTGTCGTCCCCGAGCATCCGGCTCCGCGCAGCGGCATGGAGCGCTCCTGATCCCGGCAGGACGCCCGGAGAGCTCAGCCATCCTTCCCCGCGTCTCATCTTGGATATTTCGAGGCCCGGCCATGTCTGCGAGAGAGAAGGGGAGCCTGACCAAAGACAGTGTCAGCCTGCTGCCCTGTTTCTATTTTGTAGAGGTGAGTTCACGCTGCATGCTTCTCATCCGGAACCGATCTGTAACCCCCCCCTATCAAACCATACTAGACTCCTATTATGTAGTCGTGTATAATTATCGCCAAAGATCCAATAGATGGGCTTCCTATGACGATCAGCTTATGAGTCACTGATTCTATTTTAATATGTAGGTCACAGGGACATGCAATGTGCATATGCGGTGCGTCCAGGTGCGTTTCCTCCACTGCAAAAGCCTATAGGATGTATCACAGTATTCATCCATCACCTGCACACAGTCACCTGTTCTCACACTGTAGACAGGCTACATCACCAATAGTGCAAAGCATTGTTGCTCTTGTATTCCGTGGCGGTACGGTAACAGTTGGACCCACACACTGTATGCATTCACATAGAAGACACGACGCCCGGTGAAGGACGGGGACACGGACACACACTTCTTTGTGTCATTATTTGTTTCTCTTAAGTTTTCCAGCTGATCCAACAGAAGACCGTGATCATTCTTATTAGTCCTTGCAATCATTTGGATTCAAACATATATTGTTGATCATTCACATCATAGTTTTAACTTGAAATGGCTGCAGCCTCCACACGGGAGAATAAGCAGCCAGATGCGTAATGCAAACATTCCCACAGTGTTAAATGTGAGTCTGTGGTGACAGGACGGGTCAGCTGCCATGCATGTGGATGATGTTGTTGTTTTTTTGCATTTTGTATATTAGGACGATAGGTTCATCGGAAAATAATGAAAAATGAGCCGATGATGTCAAAGATCTCTGTGCAGATTGCAGTTGATGTTTAGGTGACTGTCGCTCTTCCCCCCCTGCTGTGCTCTTTATGCACGCTCTAATTCACCGCTGGCCTGTGGCTCTGCCATCAAACCGGCCTCTCGTACATTACCAGAGTTGCCTCTAATGCTGTGTGATGGATGCTGTTGGGACGGCCGCATCATCCCCGTGGATTCCTCTCGCAGCGGGTTAGGGGGTTCCCTCGATTTTGTTGTGTTATGTTCGGAGCCTTTCATTTACATTTCAATGCGCCCTCACTACGATTACCGGGCCAGAGTCTGAGCTTATCGAAGCGCTACGGCTCCTGCTCACTGGAGGATTCTGCTGCCCTCTATTTTCTTTTTTTCGCAAACCGCAGTAAGCATTTAAACTAGGCCAATGCTAGAAGTTAATTCTACTCAGTGAACTACAGCACTTGTGCATATAATTAGGGCTCTGTCGGCCTCATTCCCTGAGTGTGTGTCAGTGGCTGGTAGGCAGAGAGCCGAGGTGGTGGCCCGCTCGGCTCCATCCCATCCTGCTCTCCTGTCAGCCGTGACTGCAATGTCCCATAAAAGATGTGGAGAGGAGATCAGAGCGTGCCAGTCATGATGGATCCCACCTCCCCCGGGGAGATTTACCCTCTTCAATCAGACTCACGGATACCTGCCTTGTGAATTCTTAATGCCCACAGCTTAGAGCCAGAGAGAAGGAGATGTAATACTACACCTAAATGTTCAAAACAATACTGTGCTTTGATGTGAGGGTTTGGGTTTTTTATTCGATTGAACAGACCTTGGTTGACATCAGGTTTTCAGGGACTTCTACATTATTAAGAACCAAGTCGACCAATTAGATTAGATTAAGAATGGAGATGTCATCTCCCCACTAAAGCTACATCCATGCACACATACTGGCCAGTGTGGTAGTTGTGAATTCACATAGAGACGTAACACCTCTTAAAGCTAGGGTTGGTAATCTTGAGAAACTAGCAAGATTATGCTCCATAAAAAAACAAAAACAGCCCAGTGTTGCCAACTGTTCTCCAGTAAAAGTAGCTTGCATCACTCCCAAAGCCACTCCCCCAAAATGATCACTATGAACGTCAAAAACTGACATGGCTGTCGTTGGTATTCACAGCTGTCAAGCTAGCAACTTCTGGAAGACTCCGGTGACGAGCGATGCGTGCACGTGCAAATGATGTGGTGCTCTGTAATCTCTGCTAACTGGCTCATCACAGCAGTACGACTGTTCTACACCAACACTCCCAGAGCGAAAGCTTCCTGGATCGCTTTAACAAGATGGCAATGTTAGGACAACCAACCCGAGGAACGTGCTTCTGTCAGCAGTCATTAGAATTCATCTTCTAAATGTTGCTTCCCCCCCCCCCCCCCCATGTTAAAAGTAATGTCTGCACCGCTGCTGTTATGGTTAATATAAGAAGGTTGTTATTCAGCCGAGTTATATTTTCTGTTTACCTTAACGGCCATGTATGAGTGAGAAAATGGCTTTAGCTAACGTTCCAGATGTTACAGTCGTTGCCCGGATGCTGATGCACTTTGCTATGACGTATGGTGATCAAATGAATGTGTCACAGCAATCCGTTTGACTTCAAGGTCCAGTATCTTTCTGATCAGGCATCCGACAAATAGGATATATTATCTTGTTACTCTGGTCAAGAGAAGATGATTGAATTCATTATTGAGATATTAATGAGACATGTTTTTGATATTTTGTGGAGTAAATTAATTGTTATATTGATCAGGAATTAAAAGAATTTTACAATAATCTCTGATTATTGTAAAATGTTAGAGCAGCTGTTCCTGACCTGCAGTGGAAAAAAGCAACGACTGGTACATTTCCTTTGTTTTAAACAGCCAAATGTGATTCAAATCCAAAATGTCTCTTTGGGGTTCAGCCCTAACGTTCCTCATATCAACTTCATGAAGTGAGAACATGTCACACGTGTAGGATCTGGTGTGATATTTATCAGCTGGATTGACTGGACCTTTTCCAGTTTAGTTTGAAGTGTATGTAATCAAAACAAACCAAAGTCAGTATTACCGTTCCTGGTAATAGATCGTGAGCTGGTTGTATTAGATTGAGATTCCGTACGAGGCGTTCAGGAGCAGCTGCAGATGTGATCCCTGTGCTCGACCGTAACGGACCGGCTGCTCTACTTTAGTTTGGACTGAGTGGTGAAGTGCAGCGAGGCTCCACTGTGAAGCCTCAGGCGGGTTTTCCTGCAAAGTGGAACAAATGGAAGCATGAGGAGGAGCCGAACAGCAGGGCAAAAACAAAGGATGAAATCACATGTTTAATTGTAGGGAGGGACATTAGCCCAGAGGAAGAACAAAGCCTCTGGTGCATCTGCAGCAAAGGTCAACGCTGGCTTCTGTTACCACACGACTGTTTACTCACTGAGCTTGCGTTGATTGTAATAGGACTCACTGGACTACATGTTGAACCTTGTGTTTTACTATGACTATGTGCAAAGGTGATGAGGGCAGACGAGGCCAAAGACAGGCTTCATTCCAGCAGTAATGTCAACAGCTATGGAGTCCATAGCTTCAACTTTGGGCTCTTGTACTGAGTTTAATCAGAAACACGTTGGTTGTCTAGATATGAATGGTGATGACACGGCTGACAAAGTCACACCCTCACAGCATGGGAAACAAACGGGAGCCGTGTTTCAACACAGTCCACCACGGGTGACAGTTGCTCCAAGAACAGGGGACCCCGTCCCTCCCTGCAGGGAGGGGGGGGTACAGTGTGCTCTAAGGGCTGCTGGGGCTGCTATCAACCCGAGCCTTTCCAAGCCGACCTAGAGCGGGTCGTGGTGCGGGTGGAGCCCGGCGAGTGCCAGTTTAGAAATATTCTCGGTAAACTACTGCCAACAGAATCGGACCCGGTGGCATGTAAGAACTATATAGACACACACAGTCTGCTCACTGACAGTCAGTGTTTGTGCACTACATGTTGTGCACAAAGTGCTGTCTTTTTGCTTCAACGTGTGTGTCTGTGGCTGCAGCTGCTGTGGAGTCTTTGGAGAAGTGTAATGTTAATGCTTAGTGCTTGTTGTACCTGCCGTGCTGTCAGAGCTCTTTTTATTTATTGTTGCTAATTTTTCTTCATAATCTTTTCAGACAGATTGTGGTTAATTCTAGTGATGCTACTTTGGGGAAAGCAGTTTAATCGATATTTAAATTGAATTGCAAAGTGAATTCTTTGTTGGTATAATAATATCACAGGTACAGTATATCATGTAACATCATCATGTGTACGATTACTTATCAGTAACAGGACTTTAACTTGAGTAGACAGTAATGTTCCATCCCTGGGCGAGCTTCTCCAGCAGCACCAGGACAGCTGTCATTATGCTCTGGCTATACTTTAAAAATATATTTCCAGACACACGTACGTTTTCCTTCCACAAACCCAAACAAATCCCTGACAGGGAAATGACTGCTTAATGCAAATAAAAAGAATCAGACATAACCAACATTAAGTTCATAAATGCGCCTTTTGTTGAAATTCTATCCATTTGTGTAGACTGCAAAAAGTATAAGACAATCAGGAAAAACACAAAAACCTTAACATGGAATGTTTAACTCACTTTATATTAATCTCGTCCTGGAAAACTGTGTGTACGCTGGTTTGAAGTATGCGTGAGGTGCTCACAGTTTATGCGTGGGAAACGGTATATGCCTGTTTTTGTGTGAAGGCATCGTTTATACATGTGGCCCCAGGAGGCCCCGCTCACCTTTTCTTGAGCAGGAACATTTCAAGTCTTTTCAGATAACCAAATTTCACTGCTCCACAAAATAAAAGGACTATTTCTTGGGTAACAAGTGATTTTAGTGTGAATTTTAGTGGTGGCCTCAGAAGTAAAATAAAGTTGTCTTTTTACCAGATTTATTTATTTATATATATATATATATATATATATATATATATATATATATATACACACACACA